GGTCCGTGCCCCGGTCCAGGAGGATCCCACATGCCGCGGAGCGGCTGGGCCCGTGAGCCATGGCCGCTGAGCCTGAGCGACGGGAGCCTGTGCTCCGCAACGGGAGAGGCCACAACAGTGAGAGGCCCGCGTACCGCAAAAAAAAAAAAAAAAAAAAAAAAAGACACACAGCACAGCATGACACAGGTGAGATCGCTATGAGGGCACTGAACCAAGCTGGCTCCCGACAGCATTCAGTCAAAGGTGATTGTTGTCATCAATGTCATCACCCTGCCAGAAGCGGATCCTGTGGCTGCTACTGGTTTATGGGGTGGGTGCCAGCATCCTGAGATGACCAGGTTTGGTCCAGGCTCTCACCTGTCGATGACCAGCTCCAGCAGCACAGCGTGGGACAGCTGCGTGAACTCGGGGTCACCCGGCACGTGGTCGTAGTGCTCTAGCAGGGCCACCATGTCCAGGTCACAGGCCATGCGGTCAGGGAACTTCCAGGAGGGGAAGTGCACAGGCCCGGCACGCGAGAACACGTCTACGATGGCGCCCTGAAGGTCGGTGAGGTCCCTGCGCAGGCTGTCCATGCAGGCCTGGCTGCCCAGCAGGTGTGCCATCCTCTTGGCTTCTGGGGTGGACAGAGAGGATCCCTGTTAGCCAGAGCCATGTGGCTGCTGCTGGAGGAAGCTTCTGAAAACCCCAGAAAACCTGCTGAAATCCAACCTCGACCCTGGGGAGAAGTCGGTTCCCTGGCCCCTTTGGGACCTGCTTGTGGGTAACCTCACCAGCCTCCCTCTCATCCAACCTACCCCACGCCCACACTACTGATTTCCTCGGTCCACAAATTCCTCTGAGGACCTGTGTGTGCCAGGCCCCTGCTAAGTGCTGGGTGGATACAGCTGTGCATGAGGTTGTACCTGCTGTCCTTCCCTCCCTGAGCAAAGCACTGGACAGGCTACTGACAACAAAAAGACAGTTGTAGCTACAGTATGTTGGGGAGCACTGGACCACCCTGGCCACTCTCGTCTCCTGCCTGGACTGCAGCAGCAGTCCCAGCTGGGCCACAGGCCTGTCCACTGGAACTTGATCCACTTCTGCTATGGAGACCTGGGCCAAGCCCATCTGACCACATCACACTGGCCAACAACCCCTCAGGACTCACTTTGGCCCTTAGAAGAAAGGCTACCTCCAGGCACACCCCTCCCCTTGTCCTCTCTCGTCACCTCCCCTTCCCTCCCCTCCACTCCACATACCATCAGCTACAAGCAGCAGCTCCTGTGCAGGCACTCGTTTCTGAATCCATGCCCATCTGTCTCTTCCATCTGAGTCATCCAATTCCCATCACCTGCCTAACTTCTCTCATCCTTCAGGGTTCCCGGACATCACCTCCTCCAGGAAGCCTTCCCTGAGCACCCTCCAGCCTGGCTTAGATACTCCCTCTGGGCTTTCCCCATCTTGGCCCTGATTGCTCTCTGCAGGAATGGCCTCTGCTCTCTAGGACAGGTCCTCACCACACCTCAGTCACTGTGGTATCCCCAGTATGGCAGCCTGGGGCCTGGCCTATTGCAGATGCTCACTGACAAATGAACGACTAGTAATTGAATGGAGAAAAGAAAAAGAATCCACAAAGAAAATTTAAAATACCTTGACTTTGGGAGGAAAACAAGTCCTGAAGTGTAAGAGAGGAACACCTGAAAATTTGTGTGGATAGCTATCCTAATCACTCTGGTGACAGGGGGCCAATTATATGTTGATACAGGGGTCCCAGTCCTGCTCCTTTCTGGCTGTGTGGTCATGGGCAAGTCACCGCACCCCTCTGAGCTCCAGCTGTCTCACTTGTAAGATGGGGATACCATCCCCCATCAGGCCAGGTGGTATCTGCAAGTAACGTGCTTGGTCCAGGACTTCCCTGGTGGCACAGTGGTTAAGAATCTGCCAATGCAGGGGACACAGGTTGGTTCCCTGGTCTGGGAAGATTCCCACATGCTGCGCAGCAACAAAGCCCGTGAGCCACAACTACTGAGCCCTCGTGCCACAACTACTGAAGCCCACGTGCCGCAACAAGAGAAGCCACCGCAATGAGAAGCCCGTGCACCACAACAAAGTGTAGCCCCTGCTCACCACAACTAGAGAAAGCCCGCAGGCAGCAATGAAGACCCAACACAGCAAAAAATAAAAAAAAATAAAAAAGTGCTCGGTCCAGGGCAAGGCACCAGTAAAAGTTCTGCAGCCATAGTAACTATTATTACTGTGATTACTATTACTAGCAGTAACAATAGCAAAGACCATCCTTGTCTGGAGCTGCTGTCTGCCTTCCATATTTACTTTTCGCCCCTGCGGCCCGCACAGATTGCTTCCCTTCCATCTTTGCCATGTGTGGACATCTGAAGACAGTGAGTTGGATGAACCATCCCTGGCCCTTGACTCAGAAGGTCTGGCCCCTCCCGTGGCTCTTCGCAGGCCTCTGACAGCAGGTGTCAGAGCCAGCAGCCCTGTGGATGCTGAGCCCTGGTCCCTCCCCACCCTGCAGTGGGGAGCCCTTCTCCTTTGTGGTTTTCTCAGCAGCAGAAAGTTCCTTGCACCAAAGCCCCACCCTGCAGCAGGGGCTGCTTGGGCAGGATTTAGGCCCCCAGGAAGTCCAGGCCTGGTGGGGAAACCTCTCTTCCTCCAAACTGTTTCCATCTCCCAACCTTCCTCATTGCAGAAAATGGCACCCTCACTGGAAGCACCTGGGCACTTCCTCGAATCCCTTTCCTTTATCCCCACATCCAGGCACCCAGTGCTGCCAGCTCCACATCCCACCCACTCTGAGAACCCGCCACCTCTGTCCATCAACACTGCTCCACACTCCCCACCTCCCCCAGACCACTGACCCAGCCTTCCTGAGGGTCGCCCTCTCCCCTCTGCCCAGCACCCCCTCGCACCTTGGCGTCTCACCCCCATAGAATATGCTTCCTCCCCATACTCTGTCTAAATAAGATGCCTCCCTCAGATCCCCGGGCTGGTGAGGTCCCCTGTTACACATTCTCAAAGCAGCCTGTGCTTTTCCCTCCCAGTACACACCACAGTGGCATGGAATCGTTGAGTCATTATTTGCAGTTGGGAATCCGACTCCCTGCGAGCACATAGACCGTTTTTTAGTTCACTACGGTATGACCTGGCCACCTGGGCTGGGACCCGAGGGCCTGCCTGTGCCCACAGGTGCAGAGAAACCCAGAGGCCCCAGGGTGGCTCCTGAGGGCAAGCCAGCCTCTCCGGCCTCCCAGAGGACTGGGCCCTGTCCTCACCTCTGCACAGGTGCCTGTCCGTGGAGCTGGATGTCTGAGTGCCCCCAGCTCTTGGACTTGCCTGTGGGCTTTCAGGCTCAGGGTCAGAAGCTCAGCCAGGTGCCTGGCTTCCCGTGTCCAGCTCTGCAGTCCCTGGGAGTGGATGTAGGGAGAGTGAGGGAGTGGGCACTCAGGGAGAGCTTCCTGGGAGTGGGGGGCAGGGAGGAGGCTGTCCCAGAAGAAGGGGGTTGTTTCAGGCTGGAGGATGGGGCGAGGGAAAGGGCAGGTGGGGTTGCCAGCCTTCAGCCTGAGCACCACTGGCTCTGACGACAGGACCTACTGTCGGCCACTTCCCAAATCCACCTCCTTTATTTATTTATTTTTATTTTTTGGCTGCACCACGCGGCATGTGGGATCTTAGTTCCCTGACCAGGGATTGAACTCGCGCCCCCTGCATTGGAAGCGCAGAGTCCTAACCACTAGACCGCCAGGGAAGTCCCCAAATCCACCTCCTTTAAACAGATGAGGAAACTGAGGCTTTGGGAAGTTAGGGGGCTAGCCTAAGATCACTCAGGGAGCTGGGACTCTTGAGTCCAACATCTCTGCTCTGTCTTCAGCCCATACTGCTTCTAGAGCAGCACTGGACAAAAGAAATATAATGCAAGCCATGTATGGGTTTTAAAATTTTATACTTGCCACATTAAAAAAACTAAAAAGAAAGAGGTAAATTAATTTTAATAACATATTACTTAATATACCCAAAATATCTCTTCAATGTTAAATCAATATAAAATATTAAGTCTATTTCTTTGCATTAAGTCTCAAAATCCAATGTCTATTTGACACTTATAGCACATCCTAATTTGGACCAGGCACCATTTTCATATACAGCACCACATGGGCTGGTGGCTACCATATTGGACAGTGCAGGGGTAGGGGGTCAGATCCTGTGTTCATTAAGCAGATGGTGACTGAGTATCTTCTACATGTTGGGCATTGTGTCAGGGATAGGGACAGAGCAGGGCACACAGAGCACTGTCCCCCAGGAAGCACCATCTATGTCTGAGGGTCTCTGCAGGGGGCAAGTCTTGGTGTGTCAGCTCTACAGTTCCACCCACAGGTGGGGTGATGAGGAGTGCCCACACCACACACACACACACACACACACACACACACACACACACACACACAGGTCCACTTCCCACATACAAATGTTGCCCCAGTGATGGCCTCTCATAAGATATTGCCAGCCATGAGGTGTTATGTCCCCAAAGAATGAGGCAGAAGCAAACAGAAAAACCGACTGAAACATTCTGGGTTTCCTTCCTGGAATGGCAGGAAGGAAATAAATACAGCAAGCAAGAAATCCCACCCCGGGAGGAAGGGTTTTCAGGTGGCAAAGCACCTGGAACTCAGGAGCTTGCTTGTGCAGACATGAAGAAACAGTGACCTGTTCACCCTCAGATAACTACAGCTGCCATCTGGGGCCATCTGGGGCCAGATGTTAGATTCTGGTTCTGATGAGCAGCAGCAAATGCCAAAGCAGTAAGAATATACAAGAGCAAAACACAACATTGAAAAACATCCGAGGTTACCCTACGTCGTTTCTTCTGAACAGTGGGGATTTGCAGATACAAGCCTGTTTTGAGAAACGTGTGTGTGTGTGTGCGTGTGTGTGTGTCAAGTGAAGGAACATTTGACACAGGCTTTCTCTGTAATTCCTGGGTCCTGAGTAGAACCCTCACCCTGAAGCTGCCAGCCCCTCACTGTTCCTGAGATCACACAGTGCTGGCACTAATTGAGCCACCACTACCCTGGTGTGGGAGCAGCAGGTAACTCTGCCTCTCCTCAGGCCCCTCAGCCCTAGGTGGACTTTTAACTCGCAGAGAAGTGAAGGAGCCTTTCCTGCACTCCCGTTTAACGTTCGAGTCCTTTCCCTCTCTTCTCCCGCTTCTCTCTCGAGACCCCTGGGACCCTACCCCTCAGGTAAAGATTATGCCTCCCTCCTGGCCAGTGCACCCATGGAAACACTTTGGAAACTCTAAAACCATCTAAATGGCAGTGTCGGTCTCTGACTCAGGAGTGCTACTTGCCTGGATCCCTGGGGACACTGGAGGAATCCAGTGAAGACAAAGGAGTAAGTAACTGCCCTAATAGAGAAGAATGGCCTGGGTTTGGATTCCCACTCCACCATGTGAACTGAGGATGTGAACCTCTCTGTCCTCACCTGTAAGTAAGTTGCTATATGAAATAAATGATGGAATGCATGTAGTGTTTGGCACATGGTCTGGCTCATGGTACGTGTTCAATAAATCCTAACTATCATCATAATTCAACATTAATAATAACAATGACATAAACCAGCTATGGTGTGTATGTGAGGAAGAGAGACGGGGAGGAGATTTGGGATGGCATCTTTTCCTATCCCCCCTCCCCCACCCCCCATTTCACAGGTGAAGAAATTGAAGTCCAGGCCAGGGTTCAGGCGTTGGGAGAGAGCAGAAAGGGAGGAGAGGATCTCAGGAGGGGAAGCAAAAAGGGCGGGATTCGAGGTGTGCTGCGGAGCGGGAAAGTGGTCCGCAGGGACCAACCTGCGGGCGTGAGGGGTGGAGCCTAAAGAGGAAGCCTTGATTTGAGTTGGTCAACGGGGTTTGAGAGCGGGACTATGGAAGCCAGGGGTGGAACTGGAAAAGGCAGGCCCGCAGGAAAATGGACCCGTGGGAATTAGGGATTGAGATTTGGGAAGGGGGTCTGAAAGAGGTGGGCCTGAAAGCAAAAGAAGGGGCTGGGGGAATAGGGAGGCGGGGCTTTGGCCAAAGTGGGAGGCCAATGGGAGAGAGCTGGGGCCTTGGAAGGCGCGGGTCGGAGGGAGAGAGGAATCTTCTGGTGGAGTAAAGGGTAGGGGGGCCGGGGCCGTGGGGTGCGTGCGAGGGCGTCGGCGGGAGATGTAAAACGTCTCACCAGTCTCCGGCGTCGCAGCCTCAGCCACTGTGTCTGGTCGGCTCATGAAACTGCCCCTAAGTGCCCCTGCCGCTGCTGGGATCCCCGGCAAAACCTATACCGGCTCCCCGACCGCTGCCACGGCAACGGCGTCTCTCGAGAGGGAGGGGCAGGAATTCACGTCACGGAGAAGGGGCGGCCCCGGAAGTGCGTCAGCCTCGCCCCCCTCGGCGACGACTCGCTCGGCCGCCGCCATCTTGGGAGCTTGTTGTACTGTTGCTGCGGGGAAGCCGCTTTGACGCAACACCGCTCACCTATACAGAGGCGGACTGGCATCCCTGAGCGTCGCAGTCATGCCGGCCGGACCCGTGCAGGCGGTGCCCCCGCCGCCGCCCGCGGCCACCGAGCCTAAACAGGTACCACGACCCCCGCACCTCGACCTGGGCCCTCCCCTCGGGCGCGGGCCCTCTTTACTCGTGCAGGAAGAAACGGCGGTTTGCTAGGGCTTGGAGGGACTCCAGGGCCCAGGAGGCAGCGCGCTTCCCGCCTACCTTCTGGTAGCGAAACAAGCCTGTTAGAACAGTAGTTCTCAAAGTGTGGTCCGCGGACCGGCTAGCATCACCTGGGAGTTTATTAGAAATTCTGAGTTTCCACCCTAGACCTTTTAAATCAGAATCTGCATTTTAACAAGTTCCCAGTGTGATTCATTAAAATTTGAGAAGCACTGATCCAGCGCATCCACCGGTCTTCTGTGTTAATTGGGCCCACCTGCCCCCAGTCTTTGCCCAGGAGTCCCTAATTTCCCAGCCTGCACGGTGCATCTTTGAACGTTAATTCTCAGCATCTGTGTAGTGCTTACTCTAAGCCAGACACTGTGCCAGGCTCCGACGCACAGCAGTTCCTGCTTTATTTAGGGAGCTCACACACTAGTGGGGAGACAGATATAAGTGAATACTCAATAAATGTTTATTGCCTCAGTTACCATAAATGATACAGTTTCAGCCAGCCCTTCAAAAGGTCTCAGTCAGCTAAGGAGGAAAGACCGTGGGTCAGTAATTGCAGTGTGATATAAGTATCAAGTACAAAGGAGACAGGAATTCTAATCAACATTGCTTTGGTGGGTTATAGGGGAGATTAAGGTAGGTGAAGCCCACCGGTGTGAAAGGTATATTGCATTTAGAAGAATGAATCAGTAGTTCACTAGATAGGTGATTGGGAAGGGAAATACCATTCTTTATTCATTCAGCAGACATTTATTGAGCACATCCTGTATGCTGACCACTGCAAATACCTATGTATCCCTCGCATTTTCCCAGTATCTTGGGGAAAAGTAACCAAGGTAATACCAGATAAGTGCCAAGATACCAAGGTGGGAATCAGATGGTGCCTCTTGTCAAGAGTAAAGAAGGTTAAAGCATAGGGTTGGGAAAGTGGTGGTTAAGAGGTGTATTTCTGGGGATTTGAAGTTTTCCTAGGAGGCTATTGGGAGAAAAGGAAGGGATGTAAGCCGGATAGTGACATATTTGTGTTTCAGAAATTCAGGTAAACAGTGATGGGGAGAATTGCTAGGAGGACAGGTTAGTCATGTTATTCAAAAGATGTTGAGAGCCTGGCCTAGATTGTGGCTGGGGCATGGTACAGAGGGGATGGGCAAGCTCAGATCACAAAAGGGCTGTGGTGCAGGCTCTCCCTCCAAAGTGATGCATTGGAATCCTGGTTCTGCCATTGGGCCAGTTAAGGTCTCTATTCCTCAGTTTGTCCATCTGTAAAATGACAAGACAATAATATAATAATAAGAGTACTTAACCTTTTAGAGCTCTGTAAGGGTTATAGATTTAATATGCTTAAAGTGCTTAGGAAAGTATGTGGAACCTACTCTGTGCTTGATAAATGTTCTTATCATTGAACGTGTAGGCTGAGGAAGGGAGAAGAGACCCACGTTTCTGCCCGGGATGACTGGAGGCATGGTTGGCCGTTCATGAGGAAAGCGGTTAGAGATGAAAGTGCCCAGAACTGCTGGATCTAAAGCTTTGTGGCACATAAGAGTGATGTGGGACGTTGACGGGGTAGAATGGTTCAGCCTATAGGTGCTAGGGGAAGTGGAGGACGTTTTGTAAGTGCCTGACTGAGGACAGTGTGTATAGTGTGAAGAGAACCAAGAACAGAATTTTGGGAACCCCTAACACTATAGGGCAGGAGGTGAAACAGGGGCCAGGAGAGAAACTTGGATGGAATGGTGAGCAAGAAGGAAATACAGGTGAGAATGGGACCTGGGAGTTGAGAGTTCTGTGAAGGAGCGGTCACTGGTCACACGGCCAGATAACTGGTACAGCTGGATGTAGGCCGTCATTTTTGACTTTGGCATGAGCACTTGAAATGAAGGGGGATCAAATGGGAGGTGAGCAAGTGGGAACGGCAAGTCTGAGAGAACTCAGGCTATTTAGCTACCAGAGGAAGGCGGGGAGAAGGCAGTAGCAGAAAGGAGCATGAGGGCAGAGGAGAAACTTTGTTTCTCCAAAATGAGAGACTTAACCCTTTGTTTACTAAGGGGAAGAAGCTGGTGAGGAAAGAATATTGGAATTTATGGGGCAGTTAATGTTGAGTATTCCAGTGGAGTTTCACAAAACATTTGAACATTAAGTGATGGTTTAGACTATGGAATGGATGCAGAGGGAAAGGGCATTCAAGGCAGAAGAAGTGGCCAGCAAGGAGTTTCCCATTTCTTTATTCAGCAGACAATTCTTACATATCCCGTATCAGGCACATCCAAGGGTGGAGATACAGGCATGGCCTTCTGGATTCTGGAATGTGGTTTCTCAGAACGTGGTTAGATTCCCCCCCTCCATCTGAATCACATGGACCCTTGGTAAAAATGCAGATTCCCAGTGTCACAGAGATGCTGTAGCTGGAGGGGAGCCAGGGAGACTGCTCTTTTCATTGGTTCCCTGGGAAAGTCCCATGCAAGCACAGAGCAGTTGAGAGAGTGGCTCTTCTGGAGCAGAGGTTCCTGACTCAAGGAAAGTCTCGATGAATTGGGCAGGAGAGTCTGTATTCTCAATAATATCCTAGAGGAGTTTAACGGTTCCAAGCCAGGAACTTTAAGACCTTCCTTTTCCTGTTTTCACAGCCCACAGAAGAGGAAGCATCTTCAAAGGAGGATTCTACCCCTTCCAAGCCAGTGGTGGGTATTATTTACCCTCCTCCAGAGGTCAGGAATATCGTTGACAAGACTGCCAGCTTCGTGGCCAGGTAACATAGCTACTCCTGCTCGTGTGGGTCACGGGTAGATTTTAGTATCAAGAGCTCCTGAATTTGCACAAGGGTAACACTTGGGTTTTTAGAGTGGTATTGTTGGCTTAGGCCTGTCAGCTCGTCTAAAACCACAGCATGGTGTGAGGTAGGCAGTGGGCAGGACTGACATCGCTAACATGGTATGGTCGTGGCAGAGTACAAGGCACACCCAGCTCCAGAGTCACCAAGAACCTGTGCTTCCAAACCGAGCCTGAGGAAATACCTGGAACGCTGCTTTGTCATGGATAATGTGTGTCTGTATCTGAGCTGCTGGCCTTAGGAAGACAAAAGGGAGTTGATCATTCTCATTGTGCAAGGACTGCATTTCCTTTGACCCATCTGCAAAATGGAATAAAATAACACCTAGAATTGTTGTGAGGCAGGGGTGAGGGGACTGAGTGCAGTTCGGGTACATCATGTAGCTATTACTTCAGATGGCATGAAAATCCGCTTGATTTCCTCTTGTTCCTCCCCATTACACTTCCTCAGATGGAGTCTTCTTGATGGCCACTTGACTCCAAAGGTCAACCATCCCCTAGTTTAGGGCATTTCAAGTATTCCTTTGGCAGCCAGCAGGCCACATCCAGCCTACAGATCTTTTTGTTCATTCTCAACAATATATAATTTTTCAACTTTTGAATGAGTTGTCACTTTAAAAATGAGATTGCACAGTAAATCTGGATTTCTGGCTTCTCTTGATGAATTGGACGGCTCCTTGCGTGGAAGCAGTAGCTGGCCTTGAGCAGACTGCTGCCCTCAGTCAGGGCATATGCTCTCCAGGGAGCCACACCTTGACCCTGAGGCAGCATCCCCATCACAATACATCACTTAACAAATGGGTCCTTCCTTTCTCAGCCTCTTTTTAAAATGAAACATAGAAAGAGGTTACTCTGGTTGATGTCTTTCACTGTGTCAGGCTGCATGCGGGTGAACCTTTCACATTTCAACGGCTTTGACCAACCTGGATATTGGGTTAAAACAGCTCTGTGCTTGATTGAACATTATTAGGCCATGTCACATTTAGGGCAGCAGGTGTTGTGTTTATAAGTTTAATATTTCATAGCAACGCTTATTCTTCCCCTTGTCCCCTGATTGTTTTTTTTTTAATTAATTTACTTTTGGCTGCATTGGGTCTTCATTGCTGCGTGCAGGCTTTCTCTAGTTGCGGCGAGCAGGGGCTACTTTTTGTTGTGGTGCACGGGCTTCTCATTGCAGTGGCTTCTCTTGTGGCAGAGCACAGGCTCTAGGCATGTGGGCTTCAGCAGTTGTGGCACATGGGCTCAATAGTTGTGGCTCGCAGACTCTAGAGCACAGGCTCAGTATTTGTGGTGCGTGGGCTTAGGTGCTCGCAATATGTGGGATCTTCCCAGACTGGGCCTCAAACCTGTGTCCCCTGCATTGGCAGGCGGATTCTTAACCACTGCGCCACCAGGGAAGTCCACCTCCTGATATGTTTTCCTATTTAAAACAATAAATAGGAAAAGAGTGTAAGAGGAAGAATCACCACAGTCTTGTGACCAGAATAGCTTCTACTAGCTGTTTTCACTTTTTCCTGTTTCCTTCTGGCCCTTGGCATCCTTTTTTAGATTCTTATAATACTAGTAGAGATACTTTCATATCCTGCTTTTTCCATTTGCACTGTGTTGTAAGCATTTTCCTGTGTTGCTCCACGGTCTCCTGGTGCTGCGTGGTCCTCTCTGGAAAGGATGCACCATGTTAAGGTGATGGGCCTTCCTTGACTTGGCTGACTCTGTATTTTCCTTTGAAGTTGTTTCCAACATATCAGTTTGGCAAATGAAGCTATGGGGAAGTCTCTGAGCATTTTCTTTCCCTTTCAGATTGTTTTCCTAGAAGAAAATTCTGTG